CATTTGATTACTCTTGACTCTTTCATGTTTTCAGGTAGTCCTCCACCTCATATAAAAGCCTCAGTGTTAGCTTCTGACCTTGCTGTGTGAAAAGCCCTTGTCTAAAGGTTATTGCCCTGAGAAAATAATAAAAGGAAGAAGGGGATAGAAATGGAAACATTTTAAAGCCTCCTGAATAGAATGCATCCAGAGGCAAATTCCAGGAGATTCTATCATCATACTTGCCTTTCAAGCAAACAAAATCAGTCGCTAGAACTGAGAAAGAGTATAAACACCAACTGAATGCCTCAATCAATCATGGTAGTGAATTACTTCTCTGTCCCTCCGTATAAACCTGCCATGCCAGCTGTTGAAGGCAGTACTGATGCTGCATATTCAGTCTGGTCCAAGGCCCTGGCAGGACTCCGTTGTGTCAAGAAATGGCCCTACCAGAAGGACCAGAGAGCAGCTGGTTCTCAGCAATGCAAGTGTCAGGCCAGGCTGGGGCTGCTTAATGCTGCTTAGGAGATGACAGTGGTGGACCCCAGCACCTCTCCAAGGGATGTAGAATCCTCTCTTTACTTGTTTGAATGCTACTGAAACAAATCTACAACTAGAAAAATATTCATGAATTCAAGGCTTGGGATCTCAGTACCAAGACTTTAAAGAGACTGCCAGATAGATGGCTTCTGTGGTGACAGCCAAGGCAGGAGCATTCAGAATGCTCTATGAGCTATAAAAGAAACCAGTTGATGGTAAGAACACCACTACAGAGCAACCTGCACACCACAGCAATTTAATAGTTTAGGTTCTGTCTCTTGTGGCACCATGCTTACAAAACTCTTCATATCTCCATTCCTCAGCATCTGCTGGCCCTTTTCTGCCCAGCACACTCCTCATATGTTAAGACTCAGCCTTTCCTGTGACACCTGTGCCTTCTCTTCAGACAGGGAGGGACCCTTGCCTCTTCAGATCTCCCGTGGATGAAAGCATTTCATAGATACTCCCCAGACTGGAGTGTAATTGCTCCTGTGTCTGATGCCCTTACGTAGCCTCTCAGTGCTGGGAAGTATTCATGCATATGTCCCTGTGGCCTGTAACAGAGTCTGTATCAGGATGCTTGGTAAAGGATTGTTGAATGAATGTAAAATCTGTGTCCCTCCGATGGATCTATATGCATTGGTCTAGGCTTGGAAAGGTCACAAAGAGTTGTGCATACTTAAGATTTCAATCAAATATCACTATTTTTAGTTAATCAAGAGGGAAGAGTAGTGTGAAATTGGCAACGATTAGATACTCCAAATGCTCTTTAAAAGCTAATAGCATTGACGTATTAAGAATGCAGTCATACGTTAGAAGACACATTCTATTATTAGATTTTTACTTAAATATTTTAAATAATTCCTTAATCTGTATATTTACCTTATTGATAGAATTATTTTAGAAGAAATTGATCGTTTCATGGAACAAGATTCATTAGACGTAGAAGGAAACTGAATCATAACAGTTGTACGGGTGGGAAATTGAGCAACAAAAATGACCTTGAGATACCCACATTCCACTTTGGCATCTAGTGGGAAAAACATTCTAGACTTCAAGCCTAGTCCTGTCTTGGCTAATGTAACTGATGACTCCACAAACCAGTCATGGGAATAGAAGCTGATAGGAAAGTACTGATGGATGAACATCATATTGAAATTATGTTGAGTCACTTATTTGCTATAAAACACAAACTGTTTTGTGTAAAGGGGTTAAGATGCTGGAAAACTGTGTCTGCATTCAAGAGCAAAAAAGCAGCATGTATCTTATCCTATATTCCTATTTACTTGCACTTCATCATTTCTGAAGGAGAAATACATAGAAGCCAGATGCTTGATTTAAAAATCAGTTAAATCAGTTAGTTTCAAAACACGTCCTTAAAGAATATGGCTCCAAGTCCAAGCATTAAAAGTCCTTTGCTTCTTAGATAACTACTGTTAGCCTTGATCAGAGATTCCAGGTTTGATAGTAACTTCAGTTCCCCCTCCACTCCCCCCGCCATGTATGTTGATGTTAAGTTACACAGATTTGGCATTACTCCCATTTTCATGTTAATATCAGAACATTTGTTATCAAGTCAGGATAGTAATTGTGAGCCTAGATGCTCTAGGATTGGCCATATGTAGTTATCTACACCACCCACCCTTCCAATTAACAATTTACCAGTTGCTTCCACCCAAAGTACCAAGACTCTCCAGCAAATGGGGAATGTTGGAAACTGGCTTGGCTTCTTTGAGCAACATGGTAATCAATAAGAATCTTGGCCAGGCATGGCGACTCATGCCTGCAATCCCAGAACTTTGGGAGGCCAAGGTGGGAAGATCGCTTGAGGCCAGGAGTTCAAGACCAGCCTGAGCAACATTGTGAAACCCTATCTCTACAAAAAATTTAAAAATGAGCTGGACATGGTCCTGATTGCCTGTAGTCCCAGCTACTCGGGAGCTGAGGTAAGAGGGAAGCAGTTGCATTGAGCCAGGATTGCGCCACTGCACTCCAGCCTGGGTGACAGAGTGAGACTCTGCCAGCCAGTGAGACTCTGTCTCAAAACAAACAAAACAACAATCTGGCTGGGTGCGGTCACTCACCCCTGTAATCCCAACAATATGGGAGGATGAGGCAGGTAGATCACTTGAGGCCAGGAATTTGAGACCAGCCTGGCCAACATGGTGAAACCCATCTCTACTACAAATACAAAAATTAGCCGGGCATGGTGGTGCGTGCCTGTAATCCTAGCTATTTGGGAGGCTGAGGCAAGAGAATCGCTTGAATCGGGAAGCAGAGGTTACAGTGAGCTGAAATCATGCCTCTGCACTCTAGCCTGGGCCGCAGAGCAAGACTCCGTCTCAAAAAAAAAAAAAAAAAAAAATCAACAATAAGAATCTTACTACTGCTTCTTCGGGGATACTTTTGGTACTGTTTTGACAAATGAATTTTGAGGATTCAAATATTATAAGAAAGAGGTTATTCTTGGTAGAGCTAACAAGATTGTACCAAATGACATTTTGCGTTAAATTAAACATAATTCAGTCATCCAGCCCTAGAAAGGAGCCTGAATGATGTCTAATTTGGGTGGCAAATTCCTACCCAATTAGATGTGTCATTCAGGTATAGAGAATTGATTTTATATTAGAAAAAACAAACCTTGTGAACAGTTTTATAAATAACGATTTCACTGTTTTCCTTAAGTACTACTCATCTCTTGCATATAGAACTTTTGTATCTTTTTCCTCAAGTTAGTATAGAACAGGGCAAGTGGCAAAGCTCAAGAGAAGTGTGACCTGAGGTGCATGCTGTCAGCTCAGTGATGCTGGAGTTTGGCCTCTCAGATCTTTAACCTGGCAAATGTAGTTAATTAGGATTACTTTTTTAAAATGTATATTTACTACTGAAAGTAACTGCTTGGCCAGGTGCAGTGGCCGACGTCTGTAATCCCAGCGCTTTGGGAGGCCGCATGCCTGTAATCTCAGCTACTTGGAGGCTGAGACAGGAGAATCGCTTGAACCTGGGAGGCGGAGGTTACAGTGAGCTGTGATTGTGACATTGCACTCCAGCCTGGGCGACAGGACAAGACTCAAAAAAAAAGGGAAAGAAGCACCCAATAGTTTCAATGGATGCCACACAATTTTGGAGTAAATTTTACAATCAGGATTTTCACTGTCCAACACCCTTAGAAAAAGAGGCAACCCAGCCCTGTACCCAGAAAATCAGGCTGTAGACTGCTGTTCCTTAGTGAGGTCAACTCTCCGTAGAAAAATGTTTGGATTGGTGCTTAGTTGGCCTGTGGTGTTCAGTTCCTCTAACATGAGTAATTTCTGTTGGATAGGAAATTTTGAAGCTCAAACGGTACAATGAGAGTTAACATTGCTGATTTTCCACTGTTACTTTTTATATGTTTTCATAACTTGGATGTGTTAGCCTATGGCCCATCACCTATGCTACTAATCTCAGGTGACAACATGTTCAATTTAAGATGGCAGGTGGTACAGTGAAACTCTCATCCTACGGGAAAGAACCTAGGATGTTTATTATGTAGTATAGTCTCTGCAGCAATAACAGAGAAAATTAAAGGTAAGCTGTGGAGAAGTAAAATGTAGAGTTTCTAATATAACTCTTCTTTTCAAATAAATAAATAAGACACAGGGTCTTACCATGTTGCCTAGGATGGTCTCGAACTCCTGGGCTCAAGCAGTCCTCCCGTCTCAGCCTCCCAAAGTGCTGGGATTACAGGCATAAGCCATCGTGCTTGGCCAGGCTCACTCTTCTTAAAGGTCTGCTAATAAGAGGGTTTCTACTTCTTGAAACAAACTCATGATTACCAAAAAGAAGCTGGGTTCTGAAGTATATATAAATATGCAGCTCAGTAGACTGAGTGCAGTGGCTAGTACCTGTAATCCCAGCACTTTGGGAGGCTGCAGCAGGCAGATCACTTGAGGTCAGGAGTTTGAGACCAGCGTGGCCAACATGGCAAGACCACATCGCTACAAAAAAATACAAAAATTAGCTGGACATGGTGGCCTGTACGCACCTGTAGTACCAGCTACTTGGGAGGCAGAAGGAGAATCACTTGAAGCCTGGAGGCAGAGGTTGCAGTGACCTGAAGTTGTGTCACTGCACTCCAGCCTGGGCAATGGAATGAGACTCTGATACATATATCTATATATCAGCCTAATAAAGATATTTAGATAAAACTATTAGGTATATTCCTTGAAAACTAGGGCATGTGTAACTAGATCTGGTTCATAAAAAGCAAAGTTATTTACATATATTTTAAGGTAAAATTGCTTCTGATAAATGTCAAAGAGGACGTTTAGGTCTGTCTTCTGAGAGTAAGTACTGAATATGACTCAGAATTATGTTAGGTAACAAGAACATTGAGGTAAATGGCTTAAGTCCTCTATGGAATAAGCAGACTTTTGAAGTCACCTGAAAATATTTTGACATTTGCCAGCCCGACTCTGATCATTTTTCCTCTTTCTTTCAAGGTATCTCAGCGTTTGAGTCAACCAGGAGTGGCGATAGGCTTGGCTTGGACTCCCTTAGGTGGAGAAATCATGTTCGTGGAGGCGAGTCGAATGGATGGCGAGGGCCAATTAACTCTGACCGGCCAGCTTGGGGACGTGATGAAGGAGTCTGCTCACCTCGCTATCAGCTGGCTCCGCAGCAATGCAAAGAAGTACCAGCTGACCAACGGTAGGGACCTGCACCCGTCCAGGCAGGCATGACCCAGGAGGCAGCTCCATTCCATGGCGGAGACTGGCATGAGCTCAAGACTGTCAGTTACGCATCTAGCGAAGTACACACCTTTGCTTTTGAACCCCTATGGAAATTGTAGTTCCCATTTCAGGACTGTTTGGCTAGTGCCGGAACTCGAACCTAATTCAAAAGGTTTATTTTGTTTTAATCTGACTTAGAGTAGAATGGAACTCTCCTTCTAGACCCTCACTAAAATTGTACTGTCCACTAATGTTTTGAAGGATTCATTTACCCAAAACATGCATTTTTGTGATTTTTTTTTTTTTTTTTTTAGGATAAAAAGAAAATAGGTTTAGTTTTTCTGCATTAAAGTCCTTTTTTCCTTTTTAAAGCTTTTGGAAGTTTTGATCTTCTTGACAACACAGACATCCATCTGCACTTCCCAGCTGGAGCTGTCACAAAAGATGGACCATCTGCTGGAGTTACCATAGTAACCTGTCTCGCCTCACTTTTTAGTGGGCGGCTGGTGCGTTCAGATGTGGCCATGACTGGAGAAATTACACTGAGAGGTCTTGTTCTTCCAGTAAGTATGAAAAAAACCAATTTATATGGGTTTTATTTTTATTTAATTTTTAAAAATTAATACTGTTTTTAAACTTAAATAGGGGTTTGCCTTCTATCAAAACCTTGGTTTTAAGTATATGTTAAATTTTTATACCTGTAACTAATTCATATTTTAAAATTTTGATCAAATAAAAGGCAGACTGACAATTTTTCATTTTCCCTTTTCTCTCTCTTTTTTTTTTTTTTTTAAATATGTCTCACTGTGTTTTCCAGGCTGGAGTGCAGTGGTGTGATCGTAGCTCACTATAGTCTCTAACTCCTGGGCTCAAGCGGTCCTCCTATCTGTCTCCCAAATAGCTGGGGCTATAGGAGCATGCCACCATGCTCAGCTAATTGTTTTTTTATTTTGTGTAGATACAGGGTCTCTCTGTGCTGCCCAGGCTTGTCTCCAACTCTAGGCTTCATGCAGTCCTCTTGTCTCCACCTCCCAAAGTGCTGGGATTACAGGCGTGAACCGCCACACTCAGCCCACATTTTCCCTTCTAAGAAGACTGCTAAGGGAAAAAAATATTAGCGTGGTCATCAGAAATATCAGTAGTTCACATGAAGATTTGAGGCCTTGTTCAACTTGACAAATTGCTAAAGATACAGCACATGCGCAAAACAGGATAGTAGCTGTAAACTTTAAGCTCAATTTGAAGTTTCTTCGAGACCTCCTGTCCTCCTACGGAAACCTTTGGTAGTATAGAATGGAAACTGTAATAAAGATTAACCGTATCTAATGGCTATGTTTTGAAAAGATTCTATACATGTGGGGTCTTGAGGCTCCAGAACATATTCTGAACTGCTTATAAAAATATTGCTTTAAAATGCACAGAACTTGAGAGATTAAGTTATTAGTTGCCAGTATGAGCCTACAACCGACTTATTAGACTACATCTTAGTCCACAACAAAATTTTGGCAGTTTCATAGCAAGGTTAGGCAAAAAAAGAAATAGTCTTTTATTTTTTGTAAGATGGAGTCTCACTGTTGCCCAGGCTGGAGTGCAGTGGCATGATCTCAGCCCACTGCAACCTCTGTCTCCCAAGTTGAAGTGATTCTCCTGCCTCAGTATCTGAAGTAGCTGGGATTACAAGCATGCCCCCACCACCATGCCCGGATAATTTTTTTGAATTTTTAGTAGAGACGGGGTTTCACCATGTTGGCCAGGCTGGTCCCAAACTCCTGACCTCGGGTGATCCGCCTGCCTCAGCCTCCCAAAGTGCTGGGATTACAGGTGTGAGCCACCGCACCCAGCTGAAAAATAGTCTTTTTTTTTTCTTTTTTCCAAGAAAGTCCTTATTTTATGAAATAATGGTGAAAGTAGATCATAGAATGGTCAATTAAGATCACTATAAATGCTCTCAGTTTCCTGTTAAAATGTAATTCAGCCGTAAAGTCAGAAAGTCACATTCTGAACTCATTACATATTTGTAGATCTATACTCAAAGGGAATGGGTGACCTCCTTTCTTCACCTTTCCCGGGAACTCTTGCATTTCAGGTGGCCTAGGGGTGTCTACTAGCTGTGCTACTAAACGGAAATGGGCAGGTGCTTATTGACCGTAAACTGTCCTTCAGTGTCCTGATTCAAGATGGTAGCCTAAGCAAGGAGTAAAAGGGAATAAAGTCTAATACCCCAAAAGGAATGGGGTCATCAGCGGACAGTTCAGACAATTGCTGGGAAGATGAAAGTGTCCTGGCTGATGAAACAGAATTGGAGGTAGAGACAGTCTTCCCAGCAGAAGAAATCTGGGATAAGTGCTGATGGGTCAGAGCCAGAAGGTGCATACCAAGAGAGCAGGAATGGGATGTGAAATGGAAACATCTGGGAATTTACTGAAAATCTCCATAGAACAAATGGATTTTCTACTTGGTCCTCTCAGAGCAAATCGTAGCCCAAGTAAAGGTTTCCGCAGCCTCAGCAGAGGAGAGCCACAGTGGTCTGGAGTACGCCTCAACTCCAGACTATTACAAGAGGCAGGACAGAAGGCCGCAGCACTTGAAAGAAAGGCCTGCCAAGGCTGGGCAAAACCTCCTTCAATTCCTTGACATAATACAGGTAAAAAAAGAAAAAAAGCTCCTTCGAGAACAGAGGACAAGACGGAGCTTTGAGATTTAAAAGTGGTCAAGGAATTACTCAGGAAAAACTCCACTGAAAAACAATTTGTTCCAACAATTGTTAGAAATCCAACATCTAAATGGAGTTGTAACAAACAGGAAAATGGAATGGAACAAATTATCCAAGAAATAATTGAACATTTCCTAGAAGTTAAGGTATCTTCAGATTGAAAGGACCGTTACTAACCAGGAAAAACATTTCATCTTCTTGACTTATCACTGAAGGTAAAGCGGCCTCATCACTGACAGTGTATGTGCAATACCTTCAAAACTGTAAGGGAAAATGGGCCGGGTGTGGTCACTCACACCTGTAATCTCAGAACTTTCAAAGGCTAAACAGGAGGATAGCTTGAGTCCGGGAGTTCAAGACCAGCCTGGGAAATACAGTAAGACTTCATCTCTACAAAAAATTGTTTTAAAAATAGTAATGAGACTGGGTGTAGTGGCTCATGCCTGTAATCCCAGCACTTTGGGACGCTGAGGTGGGCAGATCACTTGAGGTCAGGAGTTTGAGACCAGCCTGACCAACATGATGAAACCCGCCTGACCAACATGATGAAACCCTGTTTATATTTTGTAAAAATACAAAAAATTAGCTAGATGTGGTGCCACATGCCTGTAATCCCAACTACTCGGGATGCTGAGGCAGGATAATCACTTGAATCTGGGAGGCGGAAGTTGCCGTGAGCCAAAATCGTGCCAGCCTGGGCAACAAAGCGAGATTATCTCAAAAAGAAAAAAGTAACAAAAACTGTGAGAGGACATGATTTGAAATCTAGTTTTGTATACATAGCCTTACTATTAATCAAGTGTGAAAGTAAAATATTTTCAAACATGCAAGGAATCAGTTCCTCTTACACCCTTTTAAAGAAGGTACTTTGAAGGTGTACTTTAGCAGCATGAACAAGAAAACCTTGAAAGAAGATGCCAGTGGGGCAGGAAGGCCTGGAGCAGCCAGTCTTGATGGGAGCAGATGCTTAGAGGGCTCCCAAAGGAGCTTGCGGATGCTGGGTGCTGTGATTGAGAGCAGTATTTGTGAGCAATTGCTGCACAACACATTACCCCAAAGCAAGAATACTTCATACTCGCCAGGTTCCTTTGGGCCAGGAATTCAGGAGAGGCTGAGCTGGGTTCCTCTGACGCAGAGTCTCTCAGCTTACAGTCTAGGTTCCAGCCAGGCTGCAGTCACCTGAAGGCTGACAGGCTGGAGGAGCTGCTTCCATGATGGTTGACTCATGGAACTGGCAAATTGGTCCTGGTTGGTGGCAGGAGGCCCTAGTTCCTTACCTGATGGGCCTGCCCATAGGCTGCTTGAGTGACTCAGACATGATGACTCACCACCTCCAGTGCAGGTGATCAAGAGAGATCCAGACAGCAGCTCTCATTTTGTGTGACTCAGCCATGGAGATCATACAGCATCACTTCCACCACACTGTTTCTTACCGAGTCACAAAGCCTGGCCCACATTCAAGCGGGGGACCATTATAGACATGTTTTAAAGCCACCATAGGAGCCTATTTTGGGGATATGTTTTCTTCATTAACCAGCACAGAGATTCTGGCTTTTAATCTGTAGAGACGGAAGTAACCCCAGCATACAGCTAAGCTCTGCAGGAGCAGTGCTTATGGTCAGAATCATGTGCTGCTGCTTCAGACCAACCTTAAGACGGTTGTGATTCCACATGGAATACCAGCGTCTACTTTGACAGCATGTATAAAAAGACTCATTGACAGAAGAGGTGGTCGTACCTATCAACCATTTAGAATCCCCCCATCAGAGTCTTTAATATAACACCAATTGAAACATTACAAAAGTTTACTACTTTTTCCTGGCTTTGCTAGCTCATAGTGTAACAAAACGGAGGATGATCTGGCCGTTTTAAAATAGTGGTGGTTAAATTCAGTGAAAGAAAGGTGGGTCCGAGTTTCTTTCAGCTGAAGGTGATCATTAACCCTGAGAACTGTTTTCTCTCCGCACAGGTGGGTGGAATTAAAGACAAAGTGCTGGCCGCACACAGAGCAGGACTGAAGCAAGTCATTATTCCTCGGAGAAACGAAAAAGACCTTGAGGGAGTCCCGGGCAACGTACGACAGGATTTAAGTTTTGTCACAGCAAGCTGCCTGGATGAGGTTCTTAATGCAGCTTTTGATGGTGGCTTTACTGTCAAACCCAGACCTGGTCTCTTAAATAGCAAACTGTAGGCCCATATCTCAACTTTGTAGAATTTTAAGTTATGAAGTGCTCAGAGGTACTGACACAGTTGATTTATTCACACCATTAGGGGTAGGCAAGATGTCCCTGTTTCGTAACAGGGACATAATCACAACACTAGTGAACCACAAGTAGTGGCTAATGTTTAGTATAGAAATAGAAGATGTTGATTGCCGGACATGGTGGCTCACGCCTGTAATCTCAGCACTTTGGGAGGCCAAGGCAGGTGGATCACGAGGTCAGGCGATCAAGACCATCCTGACTAACTTGGTGAAACCCTGTCTCAAAAAAAAGCTGTTGATTTAGTAAACTGATAAAAATCAAATTCTTGTCTTGTTTTTAGTGAGATTATTACTATCCCTGGAAAGGTACAGTATAGTGGTTCTCAGCAGTCTCCAGAACAGAAGCATCTGTAGTACCTGAGAACTTGATAGAAATGTAATTCCCAGGCCCCACAGCAGGCTGCTGGAATCAAATCCTGGGAGGTGGGGACAGAAATCCATGTTATAAGAAGCCTTCCAGGTGATTCTGCTGCATACTCAAGTTCAGGAACCACTGGTATAGACCATTACTTAGTGGATTTACCTGTAAAATTTATTGGATCCTGAAACCTATCACTTAGAACTGGGCAAAGATGAAAGTATAGCCAACTATTCTTGGAGATATATATATATATATATATTCAAGTGGGCCAGGTGTGATGGCTCACACCTGTAATTTCAGCACTTTGGGAGGCCGAGGCAGGTGGATCACTTGAGCCCAAGAGTTCAAGACTATCCTGGCCATTGGTGAAACTCCATCTCTACAAAAAATTAAAAATTATCCAGGCATGGTGGCACGTGCCTGTAATTCCAGCTACCAGGGAAGCTGGGTAGAATCCCCTAAACCCAGGAGGCAGAGGTTGCAGTGAGCCAGGATCGCGCCATTGCACTCCAGCCTGGCTCTGTCTTTAAAAAAAAATACTCAAGTGAACCCTACAATGAGGCCTACACATACCAATAGAGGCCCCTTTTTATGCTGAGGGAGGCAGCCCTTGGAACACGAGAATTTGTATCAAGCAGAGTGGCACGTGCTGGCACTCTGGCCCTGGTTACCTGCAACCTCAGAAGAGTGCAGCTCCCAGAGGGAGGCAGCCATCCATTCTGAGATGGTCCTAAACCTGGAATCCTGACTCCTGATTCTGTCACTTTGGGAGATCGAGGGAGTGGATCGCTTGAGCTCAGGAGTTCAAGACTAGGCTGGGAAACATGGGAAAACCCCATTTCTACAAAAAATACAAAAATTAGCTGGGCATGGTGGCACCCTCCTGTAGTCCAGCTACTTGAGGCTGAGGTGGGAGGATCAGGGAGGTCAGGGCTGCAGTGAGCCACTGCTCTCCAGCAGCCAGGGCGACAGAGTGAGAACCTGTCTCCTATTTCTTGCTTGCCTATACCGGTTCTCAAACCTGGTAGACTTCATGCCCATGTGCTCCTACTAGGACTCAGTCCAGACTGTGTATGACTATGAAGTCAGGCTCTTCTGCCTACTGGCAAAAAAGCCTGCTTTTTGTATCTTAGTTTTCCTCATCCATGAAATCCAAGTAATAGTGGGTTGCTTGGATTACTAATTGTTACTGTGAAGATTAAGTTCAAATGCAATGTGAAATAACAGTAAGCAATTTCTAATTATTATTTTAGCCAGTGATGAACTTTACAATCTTATATTACACAACATAAGAATATGCATGTAAACACATTTTGGAATTTCCTGGATAAAAAGGAGGTCTAAGCCTGGCATGGTGGCTGATGCCTGTAACCCTGGCCGCTTGGGAGATCACGGCAAGTGGATCACTTGAGCTCAGGAGTTCAAGACCAGCCTAGGCAACATGGCAAAACCCCATTTCTACAAAAAAATAAATACAAAAATACAGGAGGGGCATGGTGGCACCCTCGTCCAGCTACTTCAGGCTGAGGTGGAAGGATCAGGGAAGTTGGGGCTGCAGTGAGCCAAGATCGTGCCACTGCACTCCAGCAGCCAGGGTGACAGAGTGAGAACCTGTCTCAAAAAAAATAAAAAGATTCAGCCAAAATACTGTGATAAAATAGCAGACCTGCTGATAAAATTTATCTGAATACATTCTGAGAGGAAAAGTCCAGACCTAGCACTAGTTACGGCAGTTAGAGAGAAAGAACATAAGGACATCTGGAAATATGCCATTGACTCTTATCAACTACTGTAGTTTTATCATTTCCATTGTCATCTAACGGGACTAGAACAAACTGTGAATTCACTTTCAGCAACCAGAGGGAGCTCATCCACACCCACATCGCTCTGCCCTGTTCCACACAGCAGGGACAACAAAGGACATTTTTAATTTAAGTTGGCTTCTCGGTCCCCTTCCTTTAACCTGATGCAGGCAGCCTTGAACTTGTTTGTGGCAACAAGAGGGCATTTGCTTTTACATGGCTTTCAAAAGGGGCCCATTGAGAAAATGCATTCTCTCTTTGCTGTGTATGGCATGGACAACAGTATGACTATTGCACTAGCTTTGAGGTTTTTGGGTTTTTTTTCAGTCTCGAGGTTGGTTGGTTGAAGTCTAAGCTCTTCCTTTTTCACCTGTTTTTTTTTTGGAGGGGAGGTGGGGGGGGAGCCAAAATACAGAATTTACCATTTTTACTTTTTAAGCATATAGTTCAGGGGTATCAGTTACATTTGGTGTGGCCACTGTCTGCATGCACTTTTTTTTTTTTTTTTTTTTTTTTGAGACGGAGTTTCGCTCTTGTTACCCAGGCTGGAGTGCAATGGCGCGATCTCGGCTCACCGCAACCTCCACCTCCTGGGTTCAGGCAATTCTCCTGCCTCAGCCTCCTGAGGAGTAGCTGGGGTTACAGGCACGCACCACCATGCCCAGCTAATTTTTTGTAGCTTTAGTAGAGACGGGGTTTCACCATGTTGACCAGGATGGTCTCCATCTCTTGACCTTGTGATCCACCCGCCTCGGCCTCCCAAAGTGCTGGGATTACAGGCACACTTTTTATCATCACAAACTGAAACTCTGTAACCACTTAAAGAGCTCCAAATTCCACCCTCACCCCAGACTTTGGTAACCACTGTTTCACTTTCTCTAAATTTGCCCTCATATGAGTGGGATCAAACAAGAGTTGCCCTTTGTCTGGCATTCTTATCAGGCCGTGAGTTTATCCATGTGGTAGCATGTACACCATTATATGCATAGGCTGCATTTGGTTTATCTGCTCATCTGCTGACTGTTTCCTCCTCTTGGCTATTATGAATAATCATGTGAACATGTGTGTACACATCTCTCTTGAAGTCCCTTCTTAGGTCCCTTAGGGATACATACCCAGGGGCGGAACTGCTAAATCAATATGCTAGGGTCTGAATGTTCTGCCACTACATTCGTGTTGAAAACAATCACCAATGTGCTAGAGGTGGGGCTTCAGGGGGTGATTAAGTTATGAGAGCCCCACCCTCATTAATGGATTTAGTGCCTTCATAAAGGGGCTCAAGGGAACTAATTACCTCCTTTTTGCCCTTCCACCATATGAGGACACAGCAACAGGTCCCATCCTGTAAGCTGAGACCAGTCTGCCAGCACCTTGACCTTTAACTTCTCAGCCTTCAGAACTGTAAGAAATAAATTTCTGTTCTTTTTAAACTACCCAGTCTCAGGTATTTGTTATAGTAACACAAATGACTAAGACAACAGTGTAATTGTTTTTTTGATAGCTGCCAAACTTTCCCACTGCAGCTGCACCATTGGATATTCCCGCCAGCAATGTGCAAATGTTCCAGTTTCTCCACATCCTTGCCAACGCTCATTTTCTGGGTTTTTGATAATAGCCCTCCAAATGGGTGTGACGTATTTTGATTCTGTCCCTAATGACTAGTGATGTTGAGCATCTTTTTCTAGCATTGATTTTTAAGATGATACCCAAAGACCACTTGTATCACAATAAGCTGGATTTTTTTTAATTGAAAATTAACTTACTTTTCATTTAATGTGGAAAAAAAATAATTAACTCTAGAAATTTTAGTTCACTAGACCTAGGGATCTGTGTATTTTACCAGTATTCCACGTTTTATGCATGGGATTTTAAAACTTTTTAAGTATTAAAACTAAAGCTTTAGGTGCTTTGCTGATCAAGAAATTCTACACTGTCCACTGGAGGTGTCCATGTTTTTACTTGGGTTTGCCCCTTTAGCAGGCCCTCTGAACCTTACCTCAAACCATATATCAGGGGCAGAGATCCTTGCTTGGTGGCTACAAATGCAAATACAGTGAAGAATGTCATCTATGTGATTGTTCCTAAAATAGTTCACATCAGTTGAGAAATCCGTGGCCATAAAGTAATGTGATAGTGATGTCTACCACCATGAGCTTCCAGTTATAGGTGACTGGTTCACATTTACAGTAACCGAAATCAACGATGTGGTCAGGTAATTCACTGCTGAGGGCTTTGCAGTTTCCTTTATGAACTATTGAAATCAACTTAACTATTATAAGGGACATTTTGCTACAAAGAATGTTAGTTTTGCCAATTCCCTTTCCAAATTAAAATTTATTTTAACCAGGATTATTAGATGTAAACATTAAGTAGTTTTTGTTGTTTTAATGAACTACATTTTTAAACTCACATTATTTTGGCCAAAATGAGAAGTAGTTCAGCTCCTATCCCCATGAAAATTGTATCCAGCAGCTTAAAAAAAAAAAAAAAAAAAAAAAAAAAAAAAAAAAAAAAAAAAAAAAAAAAACTACAGTCAGTCATTATCCAGTTTGATGATTTATGGCTCATTTGTTTTACTAACATTTGGTGGATCCCACAATGAAAACTGCACTAAAAAAAATGCTGTAAAAGGAAGGAAATATCAAAAGGGTCTGATCTGGCGAGTGGTCATTGAGATGTTTTAAAAGGTGGAACTAAAGGACTTCTAAAACAATTCTAGGAAAAGCTTTATTTGTCATAAAAATTCACTTCTTTGGAACATACTATAGTTTGTACTTAATTAGCTAAAGAATATTCAATGTGTTTAACATTTTTTGGACCTAATAAAATCTTTTGTATTAAATAGTAAGTTCAACTCTAATATTGTCAGCACATTTCTAGGCAATACAAACTCTTTAGGCTAAATCCTCATCCTGACGTGACAGTGCCAAATGACATGACAGTGTCAAAATGTGATCCCAAAACCAGGTGTCCTTTCCATTATTTATATCTGCAAACCTGTTATGTTTTTCAGAATTGAGAAAGGCCTAAGAAAATTACATCTATGATAATAAAATGTATTTGTCAAAGAAATTTCTTAGAGCCATATAAGGATAGGGAA